AGCTTACCATGCTAAGGAGCCCTGTACAGGAGGTCTTTCCAGGATGTGTAGAGAGAGAGGGGGCTGGGTCTAGCCATCCTCATTTGGTCAAGATGGCTAGACCACACTCCTCCTCACCCCCCAGTATAGTGGTCAAAGATAAAGGTAGCCAAGGAGTTCTGAAGAATTCAGAAGGTTTGTGGTAAGGTTTAGCTGAAGCTAAGAGCTAGCGGTCGGACACTCGTCAGGGTCCATCTCACTGCCAAGGGCAGATAAGAGGGAACTGAGAGTCGCAGCCACGCCGCGCTTTATGCCCTTGTACAGAAGCCCCAGGAGGCCAGAGTGTGTGCATGGTCCTGATGGGCACTGCTACTCCAAGATTTCTGGTCATGTGCATGAGGCATATGTGCGATGACAGTGGGATCCACACTGACGCATACTCAAAGCAACAGCAACTTTTTTCACAACAGTATTTACGTCACAATGATTAAGCTTGTTGCGATAAGAGTTCTGAACTTTGGTCAGTACCATTATAAAACCTAACTATAGAAAACTCCTATCCACTAAAAATTGAAAAGCCTTCCTCTTTGGGAGCAATAATAGTAAGACTTTGCACTTCTATCCTAGGACATCTATGCAGTTTAAAAACATTATTCAAAATAAATTAAGCCACAAAGCCTATTCAATAGTGAAGTATGTAGTCATACTTTAGATGGGGAAATGAGGCAGAAAGATTAGCTAATGTGCTCAAAGTCACGCAGCAAGCCATGTCACATATAGGACTAAAACCAAATTGCCTAGTTCCCAGTCTTTTGTTTCAAGCACTAATCTATGCTTCCTTCAATGGGAAATACCCCACGAAGTCAAATCATTGAGCAGTGAATTGCTTATATTTGATAGAATGTAAAAATTAATATTGTGTAGTAAACCACTTTGTTTTGGCTGTTTTCCGTTAAAATCATTCATCTATCAGAGCACAAATTGCCTTCCAGCTGGACAATTTAGCTATCAAGATTTAAATATTCCATCAAGTACCAAGTGCCAAGTTTCCATATCCATGGGGGTGGGGGTGCAATTTAACACTTGTGTACGGGCAGTTAGATCAGTAAGGTATGAAAACATAAGCAGCTGGGGCATGAGGACTTTTCAGCAGCGTGAGGAGGGAGCCTCCTTCTGGTATGGAATCTGAATTGTGCTGCCCTTTTCTCCTCCGCCATGAAGGGTTAATCTTCACGGTATCGATTAATCAATTTGGGCACAGAGAGGGTGAATTATCCTCAGAAAAAGCTACGTGGGATAGTAAATAGCTTAGAAATGCATAAGGGAACAACTCAACAGCTTGGACGGGGTTAAATCTGCAGTTTGTCAGCATCTCCTTGAAGGCACCAGGTCTTGTTGGCACAGGAAAATGATAAAGATTGATAGTCCTTTTTGGAGGTGCTTTCCCTCAAGATCTGTTTCCATGGAAAGTGAATATATATCACGTATGCCAGCAAAAAAAACCCCAAACCAAACCTGCCCTCAGAATAAGGTCACAATTCTGAAGCCTACATAATAATTTGAATTTCACACTAGAGCCATCTACTCTCCCTATTTTCTTTATTGTTTCATTTTTTGTTTTCATTTCATTTCGAGGCCCCCGGGCCCTGGCTCTTCTGCCCATATTCCCTAATCAGGTTCACAGTTTCAGTGAGTGCCTTCTGCTCAGAGAACCTGGAAAAGGCTTGCAGGCAATAGTGACTCTTTAATAATGACTTCGGAATATTTGTTCAGTTTTTAAAAAAAATCTGGAGTAACCAGATGCTTGTATTTGGCCCTAGCAGAAGTTCATTCATAGTAAAAACCACATTCACTGATGCTTGTTGCCAATAAGATTTTATTTTCCAGACTTTATGACAGATATAAAGCATTAGGAGACCCCAAAAACGCCACATATAAACAAACTATAGTCCCACAAACATTAGAAACAACTTATGTGTGTCTCATCAAGCACCACAGGCAACTAATAATTAGAAGACCCCCTCCTTCCCCGTCCCCAAAAAGAAAATGAAAACCGATCAGTACCAAACAATTACATTGAATATTAAACTTTCCCTTTAGAACAGTCTCAGCTTGGGGAACATCTATTTACACTTAATTACCATAAAGGAAAGTAAATAGACATGGGAACGTAGTGTTTCAGAATGTGTATTTTAAAATTTCATGGAAGGATGCACCTGACCCTACAAATGGATCCATGTAGGCAGAGGCTTTGCACCCAAGCAGAGCCCCATTGACTTCAAAGGGCTGTTGTGTTAGCGCAGGAGTGCACCTACACCAATTAGCTTGCAGGATTGGAGCCTTAAGAGTCAGTTACCTTAAAAGAACACGATCAGTGTTATTAGGCCAAAAGACTGCCCTACCTTGATAGTTCTCCATTCTGGAAGAGCTTACCGTAGTGCTCCCACTTCCCATTCTCTCCCCTCCGCTCCCCCCAACACTTATTCCATGCTAACTAAATGTTAAATGACTTCTCGACCTGTCTAATAATAAGCTGGGGTACATCCCCCATTTCCAAGGAATGTCACACATATATAGGGTTACTGTCCGCTTAAGTTATATTTTAAATATATTTCCTTATATTTACCATTCTGGATTTTAAAACTCTTCCGATTTAAAAACAAATCTAATTTTACTTTCCGCTATTTATGTTGTTTGTTTACTTCCTACATTCATCTCACTTTGGATAATGGATGTCAGAGCAGACCGCAACATTTTTCTTTAGTCAGTTTCATTTTCAGGTTCTGTGTTTTAATGTTTGAATTGCAAACACTGCAGAGGGCAGCTGTTTAAAAAACTAAACTGTTTTCATACAGTGTATCTATTGGTCTCAGGTACTGTCTTTGTAAGACAGTTTTTGGTAAAACTGTCTTACAAAGTTAAATGTTGGGCCCCAAGTGAGTTAAACATATCTGCTTAAACTCTAATAACATTCCGATTAAGCATCCATCAGGAGCAAAAAGGAAGCCACTCCTCACTGCAGTCTGAAGAATAAGACAAAGTAAAGCCACTCTCCAGTCACCCTTCCAAAAAGGGCTTTGTCTAGATAGACCAATGCTTCTCAACCAGGGGTCCAGGGCCCACTGGAGGACTGTGAGCAGGTTTTAGGGGGTCTACCAAAATAAACCAGAGAGTAGGGCCGGTGTTAGGCTCACTGCGACCTGGGGCTGAAGCCGAAGCCCGAACAACTTAGCTTTGAAGGTCCTCTCTGGCGTGAGGCCCCAGGCAATTGCCCTGCTTGCTACCCCCTAATACCAGCCCTGGCTTTTAATCTACTGGAAATGCAGAAAGAGATGTTGTAGAACAGGCGGGCTGTGGAGTTTTTATAGCAAGTTGGGGAGGCCTCAGAAAGAAAAAGGTTGAGAACCCCTGGTCTAGACAGCGTCCTTTTAAGACTTGGAGAGCATTTAACAATTTGCAATGAGGAGTTCTAGGCTCAGACATCAGTCACTAGAGTTCTGCAAACTTTTTTTAAAGAAGTCTGCAAATACCACAGGCTTTTAAGACCAAGAACAATCCTCCTACGGCTGTAGCAGTGGCTCTCTCTTGGGGCTCTATTGTTAAAGTACATTTACCAACCCCAACTTGGTGCAAGAAGAACGTGAAATGAACTTCTAGCTTTAGCAAACTTTTCCCATCCGCTTGCAGATTAGATTTCACTTGCATTTCCCCACCACACACACACCTTATGAGCCTATTAAAACAGATCCATAACCTTGATAGCCAGTTACTGAAACATAATTTAGTCAATGTCTTAAAGAAAGAGACTTCCTTTCACAAAGTTTTAAACACATAGGAGACTTCACTCTTTTCAGTTATAGTCCACAGAGAAAATAGGTTATATAATAGGTCAGTGCACATTTTTATTATAATAAAGAAAAACAAGCTAATGGCAACTGCCACATTTTCGTCTATACTTCAGCAGCTCCAATAAGCCAGCTTCAGATCTTTCTGAGGATAGATTATACAGACACAGCAGGGTATATGTGATTATCAGGGCACACGAGGAATAATACAACTCCCAGCAAAATCAATGGGAATAATCCTCTCCTTCCCCAACCCCAAAGCACTGCTTTACAAGTGGTAGCCTGACTGCTCATAAATATACAGCTCCCATATCGAGCCCCAACTTATAACTCATTTGAAAAATGTTATAATCAAAGCTGTATTTGACAGGCAGACAACTTATCATGAAGACTGCAGTGCTAGGCGAAACCAAGTGTATGTTAAAACTTGACCAGCAGCATTTTAAGCCTATGCAATTCTCTTAGGAAGGCTTTACAATTTAAGAAAAAATAAATAAAATAATAATAGTGCCAGAAACTGGACTTTTTGCCCCTCTTGATCCCTCCATAGAGTCACACTCTATGGATTTCTTCAGGCATCACTGTTCAAACCTGGGCAAGATTTATCAGAAGACAGAAAGCCTCCTTGCAAATGCTCCATCAGGTGAAGTAACTCCTTTTTTGCTAGGTTTAGACACAATTTAAAGTCCTTGTTATAACAGTTTCACAATCTTCTGAGTACAGTCCCCTAATGTCAAAAACATTCTCATTAAAAATAAAGCTGCTAATACTTAAACTATATGAGATGTATCAGTGCTACAGGCCTGGGAAATGGACTGATAAAAACAAGCTGTCAAAAACATAGACAAACTTGTTTTTTATTTTAATTAAAAACATGCAAAATTAAGTTTTCTGTGATCCTAAAAAGTTACAAGAGTATAAAAATATTTCAATTGGTTTCAGAAATATCCAAGTCTCTGATCACATAAAAGAGAATAAGTATCGCCTTTTTTATAGAAAGTATCTTCATAAAAATATGGCCACGATATACCAAGCCCAATCCCCGCATCCCATGTAAACAGCTCTATTCCATGCTAATATCAAGGGTTTGATGAGAATGGTAACTGAAGTAATCTAAACAATTATTCTACATGTTAGACCAAAGGGAATTTCCTCTATATTACAAAAAAAAAAAAAAAAAATCAGCTATATCAAATCTTTAAATATTGCAAATGCCTTATGAAGAAAACTCTGTTTGAAAAGAGATGAGATAGCAGCAACGGAACAGAACCTTGGCCCAGGACAATGGCTGCCTTGCGCTACATTATCAATATGGCAAAACCATTTATGCAAAAGAAAGGTTTGATTTTCAAAGCCAGAGTCTTTAAGCCTGAAACAAATAGTCTGTTGCACTTCAATTTAATTTCCGTTTGAATACCTTTGCCTGATAGATTCAGTTTCATAAACGACTGTCGTTCTACCATTACTTGTGTCTCAGCCACAACTGGCTTCAACATGAAAGCAAAAAAAATATTCATGAAGCCCAGATGGTAGTGCATGCCAGTTACACAATTTAAGTAGGTGAGAGGTTATGAAGTTTCTCTCTTTGTTTAAGCTTACTAAGGTGAAATTCACTCCTGTGCCGAGGGCCAGCACAAGACAAACACAGCACTCAAATCCCCCTTAAGCTTTCAGACTGAGGCTTAACTGGTACATACTCCTTTTGCTGGTCCTCTGCACAGTAGGGGAATGTCACCTTCTGAATAATGATTAGCCATCATCAGTCCGGCAGGCTAGACAGATTTCATTTGGCCAGAAAGTAGATATGCAACTAAAATATCTTTTTTGCTAAGAAAGCATTATAACACTGTTTTCTTCTAGCACAGTATTTGTTTGAAAGCCTGTAGTGCAGGAACTAACAGCATAAGTATAAAGTGTATTGCACTGTAAGCAGCGCTGTCATTTGACTCTTCATCTAATATTGTTCTAACTTTTTTTTTAATGTTCATTTAAGCATTAAGACTTTGAAATAGTTCTCATTTGAAAATACCGGTGTTAGAATCTTGAACTAATTTTTGACTTTGGTATTTCAATTCACGTTTAAGCAGCTTCTGAGTGCAAGATTCCATTGAGTCAGTGCTGTGACTGCTCCTAATGCTCTCTTATAACCTGATTTTCAAAGGGTGCTGAGCACTCATAGCTTCCTACTTAAACAGAAGCTACAGCTGATCAAAACCTCTGAAAATCAGGTCACTGAGGATAAATTATGGGGAATCCTATGGAAGTAGATGGCATCTTCACAGCACTATATTTAGTACAATAGTACTGTAGACTGTAGGTTCATAACTATGCGGCACCAGTAGTTTTGACCCCAGGTTTTTTTCTGGTAGGAAATACATTGAGCAGTACTTGTTCTTTTTCCAGCCCATCAGGAGATACAGAGCCTTATCATAGCGTTGTTATCTGAGTCTTGGAGTCTTCAATCGCCTTTGAACTCCTTACATGGTTGGTGTGTTGTCTGTTTCTGAATCTGAAAATGAATAAGATTTGAGGGCTACAGAACACTTTATAGGAACCAGACATGAGACATTCCGCTCCCAGACATTTAGCGCAAAACCGCAAAATAACCGAGCTGCATCACTGAACACATCTTCCAATATAAAACTGCAGAAAAGCCCATTACATTGGGATGTGATGCTCTAGAAGGGACCCTCTTCTTGAAGAGATGATAAAATGAACAACGTTTGCGAGACTGCGTGTCAATACTCGCTGGTCCAATGGAGATCATTTCATCCACCCACACAAAGAGCATGTGTTCAGGAAGTGTGTGCATGAGGCTCGTGGCAAAATTTCAGCTGTGCCCAGTATTTGCAGTTAAGGTTTTATCAATTTAAGAACTTGCAAACCACTGATCAAACACCTAGGAAACCCCTAACAGTGACAAGGAGCAGCAGACATTTCCTCAGGAGCGCCTCTGACCCTGAGAATTACAGACCCTTATGTACATCATGGATAGCCTTTTACAGGCAGTTCCAGCCTTCTCCAAATAGTTATTGCTCTTAAGTGCAAATCTGCCCACAGTGCTGAGCCAGAATAACCTGGCTGTGTGGTAGGGGAGTTGCACTGTGGCTACCACAATCCCCAAAGGCAAATGCCCACTCTTTCTACCTTCTTCCATCACCAGGGAAAGAAAATGGCCGGCACATAAGCATATTGGAAAACCCTCAGTGGAGCACAAGAAGTTTATATCTGTCTAGGCTCATCAGTTTTCCCTTCCTTCACCCCACACAGCAGAATTACATGCATCCAGGGCTCTCTTCACCCATTGGGGAAGGAAGACGGGATTTACCTCTTACAGTGTTACAACTGCAATATGCACAGGTACAGTCACTTAAAGCACAAGCCACAATACACAAAGTACAATACTACATCTCTCTTCAGGGATAGGTACGTTGCCTCACCACACAGCCCCTTCTCCACATCCCCACTGGCACCTGCCGCTGCAGAGCACTATATTAAGTATCAGTGTCTCATTGGAATGCTAGGAGTTCTGAGAACAGACTGCCCAGTACATGGGCTGCTCTGCAGATGCATTACAATCACATGGGCAGTAGGTTAGGGTAGTACTTAATGGTCTGATGGGAAAACAGTTACACAATAGCATTCTGTAACTAACTTATTTTAATCACAAACCGTCCCTATAAAACAGTTATGACAAACGTTAGAACCAACTGGAGATTTGGCACATGGCATCTCTATGCATGTGCGTGCATGCGTAAGATTTCAGTGGACATGTTTGTACAGGGTGACCCAAACAGCAGCGTCCAGTGTCGCAAGAGAGCATTGCATGTTCTTTACAGCTACAGGAAGGAGCTTCAGGGGGCAGGAATGGGGGGTAATCTCTCTCAGATTATACCAGCAGTTCTTTATCCACCAAAAGAAAAGAACTATAAACGCTGAAATCCTGTTTTCATAGTAGAGCCCAATCCCCTTCTATTCAAAGAACAGAGCGCTATTTAAATGAAACAAGAACAATCCTATTAAATGAATAGCCTTTCTATATACTAAAAGGGAAAATACAGAAACTTTGCAATGTTCTCTACAAATGATTGTGTGCTACCTCACCCACCTTGTCTCTCTAATATACACATGGTCTAATTAATACAACATCCTTGTGACGGATAAAAATATTATCCCTATTTTAAAGATGCAGGGCAAGGCACCCAGGGAGATGTGGTGACTTGCCCTAGATGATGCAAAGCAATTCAGTGGTAGCAGTTGGAACATGCCTGAGGCTCCCTCCTGATCCAATGTATCCCACTCCCAACCTCTTATTCCAAATCCTGCCTCAAAACAGACTTCTTCAATTAAAAAAAAAAAAAAATTGGTATCCACCTATCTTAAAAAAACGATCTAAGACAAAACTGTCCTCCTGGGACATTCTGGGTTGTTCATCTATTTAAGATGAAAGTACCCCAGCGCGGGACCACGTTTACCCCTGTGTCTTGTACATCAGGAGGCCGCGCAGAACATGCTATATAAACTCCACAGCCCGCCTGTTCCACAACAACTCTTTCTGCATTTCCAGTAGATTAAAAGCCAGGGCTGGCATTAGGGGGTAGCAAGCAGGGCAATTGCCCGGGGCCCCACGCCACGGCAGGCCCGCAAAGCTAAGCTGTTCGAGCTTCAGCTTCAGCCCCAGGCCCCAGTGAGTCTAACACCGGCCCTACTCTCTGGTTTATTTTGGCAGACTCCCTAAAACCTGCTCGCAGCCCCCCAGTGGGCCCCGGACCCCTAGTTGAGAACCGCTGTTGTATAGCGCCTGACACACTGGTTCTGCTTCTATAATAAATACTAACACCACAGCTCAGGCATTCCTGGCTTTGAGTTCAATCCACTGGGCCGTGCTGCCCCCAACATACAAGAGAAATTCTGGTCTGTTAAACACTCTGTGTACTAAGCCCACTAACAACAGTGAAGACCTCCAATGTGAGTACTGGAGCCATTCAGCGTAACATTTCAAGAGAGGACTCTGATTTCTGAGTGCTTATCTCAAAACACTGTTGGTCTTGTTTCCAAAAAGTCTGAGCACCCACCTGGACTTCAGTTGGGAATCACGGGTGCTCAGCAATTCTGAAAGATCAGTCCCAGTGTGTATGAAGCCAGGCACTAAAAATCAGAGGCCACTTCTGAAAGGTTTGGTCTATTGCAGCGGTTCTCAAACTGTGGGTCGGGACCCCATTTTAATGGGGTCACCGGGGCTGACTTAGACTTGCTGGGGCCCAAGGCCAAAGCCCGAGCCCTGCCGCCCCGGGGCCAAAGCTGAAGCCTGAGAGCTTCAGCCCTGGGCAGCAGGACTCAGGTTACAGGCCCCCTGCCTGGGGCTGAAGCCCTTGGGATTCAGCTTCCACACCCCTCGGCCTTGGGCAGTGGGGCTTCGGTCCTCCCTCCTGGGGTCATATAGTAAGTTTTGTTGTCAGAAGGGGGTTGCAGTACAATGAAGTTTGAGAACCCCTGGTCTACTGGAACAGACCTGTAAAATACTCATTTGTTTAGTGTAATGAGGAGATGATATTGAACTGGTTGTGGCTGTACGTTTCAGATCTATGGAGTGAATGAAATCCACTTACCCTTTTACTCTTAGCATCTGATCAAAGGTCTCAGGGAGAGGATTTCCATAGCTTTCTGGGAGAAACAGGGTAAGGATCCCTATCAGCACAGTCAGGCTTCCCATGAGAATGTAAGGCAGGAATCTGTCATAGGCACCTGGCAGAACACAGGACGTGACAACATGAGTTATACACGAACCATCACAACAAGCTCATAGATGGAATAAATATTCAGGACACCACTATATTGTATAATTCACTTCGCATAATTTGCTAGCCAATATTTCCACCTAGAAATCAGCACAAGTGAATCCCAAACTGGAGTTACTTATGTACCTGCCAATCCTATCCAAAGGGTTTTTCAATTAAAAATATGCCAAACTACAATATGGGATGATCACATAATATCACCAGCAGTATCTCATCTGTGTTGCCAGTTACTACTCAGGCACTAATTGTGTACCATTTAACAACCCCTACATGCTGCTTCTTCAATGTAGGATAACAAATGTCTTGACAAGATAAACACAATTGTGCTAGTACCACTGCTGAAGGAAGTGAGCCTTCAATAGTCTGTTTATATTTGGACTCAAATCTTAGCCTTACAATAAAACTTCATTAAATAAAAATTAAACTTCCTCCGCTAACAGCACATTTAAAAAACTTGATTAGAAGTGGGGAAAGCATCAGGCCTCCTGTGACAGACAGTGACCTTGGTCTAGTCAAAATCAGGTTTGGGATTGGAAAGTAACTACTATTGCCAGAAGCCTTACATTTGTGCACAAGTGTATGGTCAGGATGCAAAATCTGCAAACCACAATAGCACAGAACATTAGGGATCTTTCAGAAAAGGTGCAAACCACGGAAGTATTTGAGAGAGTATCTTGTATAGAATACATGTACTCTAGACATGACAATCTTATTTCTGATTGAAATTATACCTGTAGACTTTATAATGTAGAGAACAAAGCTAGGATTAACCGCCAAAGATCTCTGGTATATCAGAGGAAGCCAAAGTTTGTGCTTTGATCTCCATCTTCATTCAGTAACTGGCTAAACTATATGGTCCTAATTTAGCTGAAGCAAATATCAACAGCTCACAGCCTTCTCCTAAAACGTATCTTTTCCTATTTTAAATATGTGTGACTTCCTCTAGCAGTGTGCCAAGGTCCTGAAGGCAGGCCCATGGGACATAGGAATCCAAAATATGAGAAAAAGCACATTTTTCCTTACTATATGAATAACCTCTGCATTATTATTAATGATTATTTGCATTGCATTAACATTCAAGGATCCCAAGCAGGATCAGGGCCACATTGCCTTATGTGCTGAACAAACACAAAGAGATTGAAACAGAGGGAACTTTTTTTTTATTACAAAGAATAAACAGAAATCCTGGCCACAAGCTGGTAGTTTTGTGACTGTAATAGCTGCTAAAACATTAGATGAGAGACTCACATGGTGTTAAATGATTTGAAAATTTTGCCATGTTCAAACACATGGGTGAGACAGTATGTGTGAAATTCTCCTCTCGCTTTCTCTATCATCATAAATCAGGATTAATTCCCTTGAAGTAAATGGAGTTACATTGGTTTAAAAGCCACTTGAGAGACAGGAGAGGAGAATCAGTCCTTATATATGAGCTGAGCAGCTGGGCATATAATGGACATATAGCTTCACTAACATCAGTAGAGCTATGCTCACTTAATGCCAGCTAAAGTTCTTGCCCATAATGTTTATACAAATATCTAATCATGTGAGAACGTAGAGTACCAGGAAATTTATTATAGGAGCAGCTTGGTCCTCTGACAATTCCCATTGCAAGATCCTGTTTTTCGTTGTTTATAGCTTTGCCAAAACGGAACCTTTCAGGCTGAAGTTTTCCATACCAGGTGTCTGCTCAGGCTGAATTATTCATTATGATTATTTTAAAGTTTCAGCAAAAATGATTCAGCTACTTCAGAGAAGATTAGGGAAACAAACATAAGTTGTTTTGCCCACGTTAAAAAGGTTACTGCAATTGTTTTGTTGGAACCTTTACCATCTCCGGGGGAAGATGGCGGTGCCATCCTCATGTCCAGAACATGCCTTTCGCCATCCCAGCAAATAACCACCCAAATTTGGCCTAGTTATAAGCCTCTGGAAAAGACCTGCAGGTTACATATGCTCAGTGGAGTCTTGCTAGAAGAAGCAGCTAAACCTCTGAAGATTCTGTCCTCCCTGAGTATGCTTGAGTCTCTCTCAGTTCCCACCTGTGACAGATTGCATGTAGTCCATCCCCACAGAGCAGCTGGACACATCCCAACCCAGGGCTACAGTTGCTGAAAAGGATTTGTCCTGTAATGGCTGCTCCCAGTTAGGGTGGGGCCAGGTATTGGAACTGAGAGCAGGGAGCTCTCAAGAACTCCCCTGCTGGCACTCAAGACAGTGTGGCGGAGGAAGCTGTCTGATCTGAATGCACAGGGGACAAAAGCAGGATAGAGGAGAAGGGAAAGGAGTAGACTCGGACAAGGCATCTGCTGAGATTGGGTCTGTCTGGGCAAGGAGACTGGAACTGGAGAAGGGAAACTGGCACTGGTTGGGCAAGGAGACTTGGAGTGAGAACTGCGAGGGTAGGAGGGGGTAATACTGGGAGCCAGTGAGGAAAACAGGGGAGGGGGACACAGACTGGATGAGAGCTGGGGGGAAGAGTGGGACTGGAACAAGGAGCTGGGAAGGTGGGGGGAGGCAGAGATTGGATGAGGAGTCCAGGGAGGGAGACTGGGAGTCAGTGGGGTGGGAGGGGAGAGACAGATTGGAAGGGGGATGTCACACAGCCAACTGGCAAAGGGGTCACTGTTCCTTACCAGCAACTCTTGTCTCAGACTTGACAAACTCACTACACCTAACACACTGGTTTCATGATAGTTATCCATAAAGGGTAGCATGTGAGGTCTCTACTGAAAGCTTGTAACTTATCAATACTCATAATCATTGTGCGATGCGTATATGGGTAATAGTAACATTATTCCTTAACTATACTTAAAATTATACCCTTATGGTCTTGAAGTGAAAGTGAGTCACCAGGGAATGGTGCTGGCCCATTCAAGCGGGAGGGAGCTCTCACCTCTCTCTGGCTAGCTGATTACATAATGTTTTGCTCAGTTGTCTACCTTTGCACCAACCCAGAAAAATTAAACATCAAAACCACTTGGAAGCGACAAAGAAGGACAGGCGAGTGAGGGGGGCGCCCTGTCTGTGAATAAAGACTGATTCAGTATATCACAGGGTGGAGAAAGACATTCTACATCCATCCACTGAGGTGGTACCTGGATGAGTGGAGGTGCTTTGTGAAAGACTGGGTCCTAGCTCCTTGGGGCTAGCCAGCACTGCAAAAGACTGAACTTTGGAGTGAGAATCTACTTTATTAGCTAGGACAGGTAACTATGAATAAGGGTAGGCCCTACTTCACGTTTTATGATTTTGTTTCGTATGTAACCATTTGTTTCCATCACTCCACTTGTTTCTGTTTAAGAAAAAAAATGGAGATTCAAATAAATTATCGTTTGTTTTACTACCATTGAACAAATGCTGTGTGCGATACAGGAGCCGTGGGCTAGGTGAAAACTGGGACAGTTTCAGATGATCTGGAATTTCTGTGGATATCCAGTGATTAGGGGCTGGACTCCACAAGGGGACCCTTCGAAGGAACTTGAGGGCTGCGGTGCATCTACTGTCAATCTGCAGGTGTAGCCCAGAGGAGAGCGCTCGTGTGCCTGACAGGCTGGTTGTGTTAGGGAGCTAACACCTGACTGGCACAGGCACTGGAGAAAGCTGGCAACAAGGTGACTCACAGCCCTGCATGCCCCGAGAAGCCTCACAGGGGAACTGGGACTGACTGAGCAAGGAGACTACAACTGGCTGGGAGGGGCGGGGGTGAGAGGCTGGCCTGGACGGGGAGACTATGACTGGGTGGGCAAGGAAACTGGGATGACGTGAGACGCCTGAGGAGTAGGGACAGTGACTGGGTGGGAATAAAGAATGGGACTGGGACATGGAGCTAGGAGTAGTGAAGAGACCAACTGGGACAGGTTGGAAGAGATAGAGCAGGAGGGGGGTCAAGCTTGGGGGAAAATGTGCACAAGGGTCCATATCTATTTCATTTCTGTCCAGAACCTGGAATGGAAACCAAGATTCCTGAGTCTCACCATTTCTCTGCTACCTGTGAAATCCACTGGCAATCCACTGTGTGTGTCTCATCCCCTACTACTGCTGGTCCACATAGTGAATCACAAGCTACTATAGCTATCAGTTACTCTGTTAGATCTAAAAGTTCCTACCTGCTGATGAACCCGGGGGTGTCAGTATGATGCCACTTGATGGAATTTCTATTATTTCAATGTGCTTTTTTTAAAACCGAAGAAGTCGCACACAGAAAGTTACATTAAAAACACCAGGGTTGCAAAGTCAAGCACTCAAAAGTGCCAGAATTAAGTCTGTGCAACTCAACCCTTTTGTACATAAGCATTAGGATACAGTCATTACTTGATCACATACCATTTTTTCTGCAGGACCCATCTCATTCAGGATGGGCCTGTTCTAGAGATGAATGAGGGTTCTGTAGTGAAGGAGGCTTATCTGTTAGGACCCCTGCTTCATTTGTTGCAGAACTTGGAAGGAGTGTAGTGAATGTGGCAGCAGATTGTAGGAAGAGACAGCATGTCGTCTCATATCTAAGGCAACTGAATGCTGCTCTGAAGAAGTGGATTCTATCCTTGCCTCTGACTCAGTGTCTCTATTTAAGGCTAGTTAAATCACTTAGACCAAACTTCTCAGAGGTGGTCCCTCATCACTTCACTTAAGACCCTGGGGTCTGATGTCTAGGAGTGCTGAGCACTCACAGCGGCAATAGAAGTCAATCAAAGCTGTGCTTATAGCATCATGTGGCTCTACATAGATTAAATACTCTGAAAAAAAATCAGGACCTACCCATCGCAAACTGAGCACCCAAAATGAGTTGATACTTTTGACTTTAATCTCTCGGTGCCTCAGCTCTCCATCTATAAAATACTCCAATCTATAAAATAGATGTGAACATCTAATTAACGACGGCCGTAACGCATACGCACAAAGGGGCTAAATTTCCTTTTACTTTTGAGTGTTTGACTTTGCAACCTTAAAATTTCTTTTAACATAGTGTTTTGTGTGTAATTCGATATATTATATGTACACACCACTATGTACACTTTATACTGCATATTTTCTAAGTACCATTTTCAAAAAAGTATAGATTCCAAGAGATTATTTGACCTGCATCTGCCTGTTTTTCAGCATCTCACGCGTCTCTGTGCTCTCTTCTACGCTGACTGCTATGCAATGAACGCTCTACGTGTGCTAATCTATTAGGCCACCATTCTGCTTTCTATATTTAAGTCTCTCCCGAAGGCCCATTTGGGCCATCATGCCCTTGGGAAATTAGCTGACTGAAAATGGCAAGTTTCAGGAGTGAGTGAGATTAGTTTTCAAGTGTGCACTATCAAGATGTGGCAAAGTATCATCTCAGCCACTCTACTTGTACGTTTCACCCCTTTGCTTTCCCCCTTTGTCTATGGATTGTGAGCAGGGGGTAAGGCCTCTTCTGTTTGGAAAGCACCTGCCTCAATCAAAGAGAATAAAAGGGCCTGATACACCACTGTTGCACCTGTATAAAACTGGAGTAACGCCATTTATTTCCCTTGGTGTAAAACAAAATGGCCCAAAATGGAGGAAAGTAACTGAAATTACAATATCTAAAAAGTTGCTTTAAAAATCTCGGGAGCACCAGGACTTTCTAGCTTGCACCCATTCTTTGGGATAATTTTTCTGTGCAGTTTGCTCTCATGTGTTTAAATTCAAGCCAAATGACAGAAGACATCTCACCAAGGTAAACAAAGTAAGGAGCGATGATGCTGCCCACCCTGGAAGACATGGAAGTAGCTCCAACTGCCATGTTTCTTACTATTGTTGGGTAGAGCTCAGAAGTGTAGACATAAAGCATTGAGAATGCGGATGTGATCCCAAACTTCCCCAGCATCACCAGGAAGACAGACAGGATGTGAAAGTCTGAAAATAAAATTAAATAAGATCAATAAAGCTGCATCAAGTTCCCACGCTTGTTACCGCCATTGCTTTTACCTCCCAAAGACTTCCGTTTTCCCCCCCCTCTATAATTGTAGTCTTCTCTTATCATAACCACCCCCCAGACCTAGATTATCCAATTCATAACTTGAGCAGGCAGCTTATTTTGTACTACCAGGACTTTGGTTCATTCCCAATCTGAGAGTGCACTTGAAATGCATTACAGCTCTGATTCAGCAAACCACATAATTCATATCTAATCAGCAGTGTATTTAGGTTCTACTGAAGTCTACGGTGAAATTTGGAGAACTTCTGATTTTTGTAAGCAGTGACTCCAGTTCAGATGCAGCTGTGTTCTGTAATTTATCCAATTTCATCTGAAGCATAAACAGATCAATAGTTTGATATTAAGATGTGCTGAGCAACACAGCGCCCAGTAAACTCAATGAGAGCTGCAGGTGCTCAGTATGTACGAAGAAAAAAAAAACAAACCCAAAATCAAATCAAGCCACAAATGATTGAGGTTTGGTGCAAATTTCACCCAGGAACTTTCTGTTTTCGAACCCTTTACTGGAGCAGTTAGATGGCACTGTAGGATATATTTTATTTTTATGTCATGAGTTGAAGCTCATACCTGTAGGCACCAGCTGAATGAAGAGAATAACCCCTCCTCCTAAGAACAAGGTGCCAGATATGGAATACCGCCGAGGTAAGGTTCGGAGGAGCAGCCAGGCAATCACATAAGCCGGAACTTCAATAATGGCTGAGAGGAAGCAATTGACGTAGGCATTTCCATGCAAGTTGGGAGTGTTGAGTGACAGTCCAAAGTAACCAATTGATGTTAACATCCTGAAAGATGCGTAAAAAGTAAAGTCTCTACAGTATTACCCAAGATTCTGTTTCAGAAACAGCACTGTACCAAACATCAGCAGTGATGGGATGGTTTTCAGAATTTTCAATAGCTACAGCACAGTTTCTAAGTCCCTGCAGCTTCTTTTTGTACTAAAAATGTATGAACACAATCCTCTCCACAGAACCCTAACTTAACTCTCCCTTCCATATACAATACGGTAAATGAAAGGCTCACTGGAAGTTATTCATAATGGTGTTTCACTGTGACAGATCCATTAACAATATAGTGAAGTAGGAAGTCCCGAAACGTTTCAGTTCATTACAGTGTGCCATCTACAATCCCATTTTTAGTGAACCTCTCCCTAGAGCAAATTCTATTAAAATTCTTGGGGTACTCATAAAAAGCTTCATTACAGCATCTGAATGCTATGGTTCTGCATAACAGAGCTGGAAGATCGTATTTCAAATCTTGGGACACCTCAATTTGACATCTGAAAGGAATTAGCCATTCCTCTAGATGGGAGGCAGTGGAGTCCAAAGGCCTGGATCACAGATTGAGAGTCATGTATTAGGTTCTAATTCTTGTTCTGCTACTGAACTGCTATGTAGCCTTGAGCAAGCCACATGACCTCTTTTGCTATACCCCCAAGACGGTAATATGTACTTCACACGGATGTTGTGTGGATAAGATTGTGGGTTGTTGTTGTTTTTTTACAGCAGCATTTTGAGTACACAATGTGCTATATAAATGCTCATCATCAATACAGTCATCATAAATTTGCATGCTCACAGGAGCACAAATCTCTACCTGCCTAAACACGGATGCAAGCACCTTAATGCAGGTATTTAGACACCCTATGTAGATTCCCACATTTGAAATAGGTCCCAGTTTATGAGACTGGTTATTATAAAAAACTATAACAGGCATCACAAACAGATTGTTTGTTGTCCATGTCCTTTAGGATCACACATTCACTTACCACAACAACAATGACATAACAGTGATAACTGCAATGTTTCGGGTTCTGAACAAGTCCAAAATGTATGCCTTCTGCTGCTGCTGAAGCTTCATATCCTGCATCTGAGGGGAAAAGGAAAACAAACCCAAAATATCCCTATACCCAAGGAAGAGATCAATCTAATCCGTGGGGAAAAAATCTTAACACACAAATTTGGGAGGATGGAGGTTATGAAAAGACACCCCCACATTAACTCTTCCAAGTAAAGTGAAAGGGCAGAAAATACACAAATCGACTGCCACACAACCAATTCTGCATCAGCAAAGGAGTTTCATAGGAATCTTGATTATTCTCTACCCCAGCGGTACTTCAAAAGTAACTTTAAGTTACTTGTGACATAGGGCAGCACTGACACACCAATACCAATTTGATCTAGAAATCAGTTAACAAGTCAAAGACTAGAAAATCTAACGGGGAAAAACTTGCACTAACTTCTCCTCCTTCATGCCATACAAAGGCACTCCCAGCACTGGCCTCACTGACAAGGGCAGTTTCCCGCACACTGCCTACTGAGATCTGTCTTTATTTAGAATACACAGATCAGTGTAAAACAAAGAATCCTCAGGCTCTGCTGCCTATTTAGCATGGTTGGTTGCAACAGCACACGGGAAATTGGAGCTCAGTCCTGAACTCAATTACTTACTGTGATGATATTTGCCACCACTGCTCCCCATGTTAGCAGAGGCTGAGAGACCATTTGGTACTGGTAACAGACAATCTCCAGCCAATCTGGCATGTGCAGAGTCTTCTTTGCTGGGTCCAACTGATTCAAAATCTGGACGTAGGGTTCCCACCTAAGAATTACACCCTCCCTGGGCCAGCAGTGGCCAAAAACGATTACCATTTAGCAGCCTAGGATGAAGAAAGGAGCTGGTGATCTCGGTCCAGGGCTTAGTAGGCTGGGGCCATTACTACAAAGGCCACTGCCACAACGTATACCAAGTTAGTCTCAGGTGAGGGGCCAGCCCAGGACTGACGGGGCATAAAACAGAGCTAATCTCTCAGGCCCAGACGACAAGGCTGTGTCACATTCCTGGCCTGCCTGGGGGAAGCTGAAATGCTGCTTCCTTGGCTGTTCCTGTTTGGCTAGCTAGAAGTTTTCACTTTCTAGGAACGTCCGTCTGGCATCGCTCACAAGCTCTAAGGTTATTTTAACAGAACATACATTGTGCAGGCATCATCCACTGGCAAATGTAAAGGCTGACATCAGGATCAGACTTGTACGGTTGGTGTGGGGGGGAAAGAGTGGCTGTATTGCCACTTAATCTGAAAGGCATGAGGCAGTGATGAAAAGCAGACTTTTCTACTAGAGCCTGAAAAAGTCTTTTAAAGTATTAAACATACAGCTGATCTACGGCTGAGACAGAAAGGAAGTGCTTTTCTTCCTCACAGCTGTCATAAGATAAAATTCCCACCCCCAAAACACACTTGCTTTTCGAGAACAGATTTTAAGTGGCATAACCAAAACCTAAACAATATTTAAGTAGTTTATGCTGCCAAGCAGCAAGTTCATCAAAGAACACATTTTTCTTGTAGAAAAGTCATAACAACACGTGGTTTTGTACTGTGCCATGGATTATATGGAGCTTGAAAAGTGGCTATTTATATGACAACAATACGTAAAGTCTCATGTAAAAGACGTGCACATGTATTGAACACAGACACATGGGACTGAAACCGAGGATCGTAATCACCAGAGAGTATGAGCCCCTACCATCTAATTAAGCAGAGTAACTAGCCGGCTATTATGCTCACGGAGCTAGCCGCTAGAGGGAGACAAGATCACAAATGCTCAGTCACTGTATTATGAGTGTACTTGTGTTGCAGTCAACCTTTAAATGCTAATAAGCTTTCTGTGCTAGGGTTTTTTCTTTGTAACTAAGAAGATTAGCCAAGAGGTATCATTCCTATGAAAGGACTAAATGTTCTTAATTAAAATGGAGCCCTTTTACCATCAGATCATTATTAAAAAGCCAGAAAATAAATAATAACCCCCCATGCACACACACAGAGCCAACAGTGTACTAAGCCAGCGAAAAAGGACTACTTAGCAATGGGGCAATGGAACTGCCTACACACTATACATGTTTATTTATTAAGGGCGCTTTTGAGGGTGCCCTTTAGTGCTGTGCTGGGACTGACAGGCTCTTCAGTGAAGCCCTGCCTTCTCCTTTGGTGCCTCCTACTAGCAGGCGCACATATGCATTATAATCTGGGTACCAAAACAGCTGCTCCACACAGATCCTTCCATCTGGAAGAGCTACGTTTAAATTAAATGATCAGCTGTCAATAGTGCATCCAACCGAGATGAAGATAAATGTATTTTAATTTCTCATTTTTCTGAGTGAGGCAGTGGTGCCCTAATGATAGACATTTCGTTACACCTATGAGACAAGCCAGTCCTGACTGAAAGCCAGAGAAAATCATTGCTGAAGAGTAGAGATCTTACTGCAAAAATAAACAGCAACTCCAGCTGAATGTTTTTGATTTACTGACGCAAATGAGGCACCACCAATTGCCTCATGTCACAGCAAGTATTGAACCTGGACAATTTACTAAACAACTCGTGACAGAGCTGTGCTTTGAACTGTTTGGTGTTCTGGCTCATCAGAATAATATGGAAATGAATTGCCTGAACAGGAAAATAGCAAAGGCTGCCAAGTAGCAGATTAGAATCCGAGAACTGGAAGAGACCTCAAGAGGTCATATAGTCCCTCTCTCCCCCCACCCCACCCAGTTGAGGCAGGACATATGAAAACGTACCTCTGTGGAGTCAAACAGCATAGCTGGGGCTACAATGCCATTTGTTTTTGCAGCCTTTCGGATGATGATTTCTGCCTCTTTAAATCTTCCCTGAGAGATCAGCCACCGGGGAGATTCAGGAATGACCCTGCAACAAATTTCAGAAGGACTGAATCAACATTTCCACAATGATCACAACTGCTGACTTAATCATCTTTATAAAACACACTCTGGGGATGGATTTTGCCATCTCAGTAATAGATCACTTCCTGTGGTAGGGTCCAAGCCTCCCAACAGATGAACATGTGGGTCACTTTACCCATAATGAGTAGTACAGTAACTCCTCACTTAACGTTGTAGTTATGTTCCTAAAAAATGCAACTTTAAGCGAAACGATGTTAAGCGAATCCAATTTCCTCATAAGAATTAATGTAAATGAGGGGGTTAGGTTCCAAGAAAAAAATTTTCACCAGACAAAAGACTATATATATATATATTACACACAAAGTATAAGTTTTAAACAAACAAACAATTTAATACTGGTACACAGTGATGATGATTGTGAAGCTTGGTTGAGGTGGAGGAGTCAGAGGGTGGGATATTTCCCTTACTGCTAAATGATGATCTAGCAATTGGCTGAGCCCTCAAGGGTTAACTCTCTCTCTACACAAGACAGCAGGAATGGAGGGAGATATGCGCATTTCCCTTAAGTACACTGCCTTGTTAATTAGATCAGCCTGCTGAGAGGGCAGCTGCTGCAACTTCCCTCCATCCTGAGCCCTGCTCTATGGAAGATGGGGTAAGCGGGGTGCAGAAGCAGGAGGGAGGGGGACACCCTGACATTAGCCCCCCCTCTTCCTTCCCTCCCCCCACACAGCAAGCAGGAGTCTCGGGGAGCAGCTCCAAGGCAGAGGGCAGGAGCAGCACATGGCAGTGGGGGGGGCGGGACACAGCTGAACTGCAGGCAGCTGCTGCACAGGGAATTTAGGGGAGCGGGGAGCTGATAGGGGGCTGCCGGTCCACCCTGGTTCCAAGCCCCCACCAGCTAGCTCCAACGGGCTGCTCTTCCTGCAAGCAGTAGACAAAGCAGGCGGCTGCCAAACGACGTTAGAAGGCAGCATTGCACAACTTTAAACAAGCATGTTCCCTAATTGATCAGCAACGTAACAACAAAACAACGTTAACCGGGACGACTTTAAGTGAGGAGTTACTGTACAACTGAGCTCAATGGTACTGCTCAAGCACATGGGTAACTATTCGCATGGTCAAGTACTTGCAGGAGAGGGCCCTCTTCCTATAATTGGTTTCTGAAATTAGTTGTATTCATGTACGTTAAGGGGATACAAACATTACAAACATTGAATCTATCTCCCCATGTAAGTATTCTCACACTTCTTATCAACCTGTCTGTGCTGGGCTATCTTGATTATCACTTCAAAAGTGTTTTTTTTTTCTCTTACTTAATTGGCCTCTCAGAGTTGGTAAGACAACTCCCACCTGTTCATGCTCTCTGTATGTGTGTGTATATATATATATCTCCTCAATATATGTTCCATTCTATGCATCCGAAGAAGTGGGATGTAGCCCACGACAGCTTATGCTCAAATAAATTTGTTAGTCTCTAAGGTGCCACAAGTACTCCTGTTCTTTTTGCGGATACAGACTAACACGGCTGCTACTCTGAAAAGGGGATAATTAAATTCCATCAGGCAGTCAGAAGTTTCTTGGTAAATAGCAAAAATATTAAGTTAGGTAGCATAAAAATCAATCATATAAACAAGTTATCCTTACAAAAGTTGTATACAGCACACAAATGGTGTAGAGTTGTGGTGGAGATATTTAAAGGAAAGTGCAGATCTATTTAAAGGCTACTTGCCATAGAGAGTTTATACCCAACCTTCTTCATCTTCATATCACAAAACTGATCAGGCTAAGACAGTGGTTCCCAAACTGGGGTTCGTGAACCCCTGGGGGTTCACGAAATGTTACAGGGGGTTCTCGGGGAAAAATTCCCTAATGGTGGACAGAGCTGTCCTTAGGGACCCCAGGCAGCACGGGACCAGCAGCACGGAGCCCCTGGACTTCCAAGAGCTAAGCAGATCAAAGCAAACATATCTATCACACTGAGGAGATTTAAACTTCAAGACTCCTTATAAGAAATGGAAAGGGAGATGGATATTTTTTGCTGTTTTTAAAATTAAATAGGCAGCTAATCTTGTTTTTAAAATTATTATGAAGAACAAGTTTAAGCTTTGTTGTAACGTGCGTTGTTTGCCTGGACTGCTCAAGACCTGAATGCTTGTGTAGGAAGAACTCTTTGAGTTGGCTTCTTAAATACCTTCATGCGGTTTCATATCTGATACTCCTTGATGAAACATAGGAGCCTTGTCTTATAACAGGCTTATTCAAAGTGATAAGCTATGAAAGTGAGATCTTGGAAGAATGTTGCCCTTTTCATAATGTAATAAAAATACTGTAATGATAAATAGTAATTTATAATAAATAGTGTGTAATAAGCATGTCATAAAAACAAATTTTATATTTCCAAGATCACTGCTTTTATAATTTATACTCAGGTAAAGGAGAAAATCCCTGGAAATATTCATTTTTAAGAGGGGGTTCGCGAGACTTGACATTTTAGTGAAAGGGGTTCACAGGTTGTTAAAGTTTGGGAACCACTGGGCTAAGAGAATGGTAGCAGTGCCACCTTGTGGACCTGATTGTATCCGACAGGTAAAATCCAAACATGATTATGTCCATTAATAACAAACACAAAGCCTCTCCTTCCCTGTTTTAAAAACTCTAAATCCGTCAATCCTAACTGCTGCTGTCTTGCTCTCCTTAGTCAATGGTAATTTTCCCTCTCTCTGGAACAATAGGTCAGAGACTGCCAAGATACCCTCATGATCTGCAACGGCAGCTGCTAGACCTCTTCTCAAAGGGTTGATTAACATTTTTCTACTACTGTCTCCCCCACTGCATTTCTTTACAGGTCAGTTAATGAATACGAATGCAGATTGCAGAAGCAAGGGATACTTGGAACCCCTTTGGAGTATTTATCTTACTAAGCTTTTGACAGGATAGTTCTTATTTCACTGTATAAAAGTTATTAAGTAAATACATGGGTTCATAAGAGCCACTGGCAGGCACTGTGCAAACTTCCCTTACATACCTCTGCCAATGCACCTCAATCCCCACCTACCATCTCTTTGCCTCTCCAGTCCCAGACCCTGAAGTGGAGGATGAGAGTCAGGGCAATCCGTATGGATGTTTTGCAATGCAGACAAACAAAAACTAGGAAGAACAGCCGCCAAACACAACTTCACTGGTACCCCAAGACAGGGCTTTGAATCTAGGTCTACAGCAGCAAGAGGCCAGTGAAACAGCTCAGTGAGCCACCATAGCTCTCATAGGATTTATGCTCTAGCGACAGTCAGCTTTTCCAATTGGACTTCTATGTTCAAATACCTACTTTTCCTCCATTACTCCCACTAACAAAATGAAGCTGCGTGTCGCAGAGGAAAAGCAAGCAACGCCGGATTGAAGCCAAGGATTCTAAAGCATTTCAAGTTAAATAGAAGCATTATTTAAAATGTCATTCTGGAGAGGAATCAAATTTCTGACCAACTCTCTAGTCTGGTGATAGCAAGCAGGCACTGAAAAACGTTTTTAAAGGGGTTTTATTTCATGTTTTCAGCCAAATTCAAAGAGCAGAAAGATGGAGCTGAATGGTATTTCGCACTGTGTAGGATACAAGTCTATTTGCTTTACTTAACAGTGTGATAAAGACATTGTTCTTTTTGAGGTCTTTATGTATCATAAATAGGCTGCTTCAGAAGAACAAGAGAGGAGCTTCCTGGTTAAGACCAGCGTGAAAAGAAGGAACAATTTCATGTAACTTTTTGAAGAGAACATGTACGTTTTGGAGGGAGAGGGAGACACCTCACATGTCTCACCTCTATCAGGAAATGAGTGCACTCACTCCACAGATGCAGAGAAAGGGCAAGCATAGCATCCCTCCTCTAATCTGCCTACAGGGCCAATCAAAAACATCAGGCTTTCCCATCTTGTCTCTGTATTGTTTACTTTTCACACTGGGAGTGCATAACCATCCATGGGTGAGTGAGGCAAAGTTTGTTTAAATTGGGGTCAGTTTAAAAAGGAATTGGGGGGGGGGGGAGATGAGTGCAAAGGAGAGACCAAAAAACGAAACAAAAAACCAAGGAGCGGAGCCTGGAATGGTCAGGGTTAAGGTTAGCCACGTGAAATCCATTAGGGTGATGTTTTCAAAATCCAGCATGACAACTGCATGCAAAGAGAAACAAAAAGCAAGGAGAATCTCTTTATGTCTGGTAAACTGTCACTGTCAAAGCCTATTGCGGACATCCTCCCAACTGGAAAAACAGAGAAAAGTAAAAAAAAGTAAGGGTCTGGGTAAGCGTGCTAGACCTAGAGACAGCTAGTGGCTTGTCTGCATTTCCATCAAAGCCCTGTTAAGTAGGTATTTGTGATGGAGCTGCCTGTCACATAGGGACCAGATGCTCCTCACCCCCTGTGATCCAATACCAGGAGAGGCTTTAGCGCGAGTCCATGGATTCAACTGCACCACAAATATAATGAAACCGAGGGCGCCAAACCTGACTGGTGCTGTGATGCTATGCGCCACGTCGCAACGCCCAGAGCAGGGAGCCGGGCCCAGCCCTGCGGGACAGGAGGGCAGGTTTTCTCTTTAGCTCCACCCCTGTGGCCTCCATGCCATGCCAGGACTAGGGTTGCGGTGCTGAGGCAGAGGGTGCTGCAGCGGGTGATTGCTGCACCCCTTGGCTACAACCCAAAACCAACCCTAAGAAGAGTTTAGCATAGTGCTCGAAAGGCTACATCCACCCCTGCTCAATACAGAGCTCCACACATGCAAACCTGGGGCAGCCAGTCAGATTCCTAACCCGTCAGTCACATTACTGGACAAACGGCTCACCTGACTGCCACAACCAAGAAAAGAAAACTTACCTTTAAAGCAGGCCCTGCTACAGAGGCTGTTTTAGGTCTTCACAGATGCTCACTCCCTTGCTGGGAGATCCAGAAATCCGACACATGCCAGTTCCAACTTGGCTGTGTGCTCAGCCAGCCAGGGTTTAATGGGAAAGAGGCTGGTGCATGGTGTTAGTAGCAAGGGAAGGGAGAAAGGAGCAGGGAGAAGAAAAGTGGGGAGGAAAGAGGGAAGGACCCACAGTGGCAACAGCTGAGAAATGCATATGATGGTTCCCATTGATCTAAGTGGAAACCTTTTCCAAAGGATTGTAAGATTCTCCCCCACTTTAAATTTGTACAAATATTTTGAAAGGTATAAGGCACTCAGAGCCATAGATCTCCAAGTCCCAAGAAGTCAGGTCAGCTTCAAGATGGCATCCCCAGTCTCTAAAGGCCAGATAGGCTGGCATAGCCCCTTACAGGATGAGGCATCCAATTGGCTGAGAAAAAAAAACAGGGTGGAGCCAAAGAAGCCATCGAGTTCTGCTCAACCAGCCAAATGAACCTGCAAGAGGTCATGGTGCTCATGTAAATCCCTCCCTGGACAAGCTACTGACCAATACTGACCCAGCGAGCTGTCCCTGGGGCTGTGTTTGTATACACTTTGTTGTTTAGTGTGCTCTCTCGTCTTCAGTGCAGCTTCCACAACGCATGCTAAATTATCATGCACCTGATGGTGGCACAGAATTTTGTTTTGGTGACCGTGCCACTGTAACCCACATATGCAAGGACCTGGGTAAGCCCGTCAGAACTCCCTTCACTCAGCTGGCATCGGGGGTTAGGAGAAGGCGGTAGCGACACATCTTTATAACGGCACATTTTCCATTTCCTTTAGACTAAAATTCAGCCTCATCCCTTAACCTAGGCACGTAAACATTTTGTTTGTTTTTAATGGGAGTTATGGTTGGAAAGTTATTTACTGTACAGGACTGGTTTCCCCAAATAATTTTAAAATACACAAAACCATATTTCATCCTAGCAGCGGCATGCTATGGTTTTACTTCAGTAGTGAAGTAGATCTTTGCAAAGAAAAGGCATCACAGACAGATAAAGGGATTCTGATATGTTGTTTTTAGGATAAACTAACCTTGGATTGCTCTGAATTTGTTAATGCTGCATGGATTAGCAAAGATGCACATGAGATGCCTGGTTTATCAGGGTGGTTTCCTGCTGTATGGCTGACCTCACATTCCAAAAGTAACATAACTATGATGACAAAGGAGCTGTGAACTGTTACAGCCAATCAATCCGCACAGCCACTCTTGGAAGAGTTATATGGCATTTGGCGCAGATACCATCCAGACAGCAAATAAGCTTAGCTTTCAGAACTGCTGACAGAGGATCTGTTATGGTCTATTGGGTTAATCCATCATTAATTTTTTGGATTTTGACTTCTTTTCCAAGGCCACATTAGAGGAATAAAATACCTTGCTCTGTGAAACCCCCCAAACTGTGACCAAACTTTACCCGGGGGGGGGAGGGGGAAGCGGGGGAGGAGAGAAGAAAACTGAGCACCAAAATGTTAGGGCTGAGACTTTTTTCCCTCAACTCACCCCCATATGCCACTAGCATCTCCCTCTAGTGGGGAATCTGATGTACGAGAGGCACTGCACCCAAGACATGACATAAGTCACTAAAATGATCATATTAAAGTAAATTACTTGTGTTTAGGCCCCAATCTTGCAAGCTGCTTAACAGAGGTGCACTCTACAAAGGCCTACTGACGGCAGCGTCCAGGCATATGGTACAAGTTGCAGGATCTGGCGCGAAGCTAGAACCCTGGATTCCAGCGAGCCTGCTGGGCCAAACAGTTAGTTGCTGGCTTCCCTACTCCACCACACTTTCTTTGTTTTTAATGACTCAACACTGTGCCCAGAGGTGATGAGACTAAAAGTGAGTTATGAAAAAGATCAGAGTAATTAAAGATCAAGGAGATTTATTAGACCATAGAGTTTCTCCTCTTTTAAGGGCAGGGTAGAATCCCCCCAAAGGAAGATGTATTAAGCTAAATGACATATGATCTGAGCCAGAAGGCCGAGCAGGAGTACAAGATGTTCATCACAGTCACAATGTCATAGACAAGTTTTAAACATCCTCCCTGCTCCAGTCTCTTACCCTTATCCAGCCCTCTCAGACACAAATATTGTGTGTAGCAAAGCACACAGTTTCTGGGTAGCATTTCAATAAGGAAGATTTTTGTTGCATTCCAACAGTTGCATCCACATAGAAAATAGGCTTCTAAAAAAAGGGAAGGAAGAAAAGTTGGAAGGGAAAGTTTGTATAGTACAACTCATCCAGCAATAATAAAGGAGATAACAAAAAGGTTATAAAGAGAGTTTGAGGTTAAGAGTCCGATAGTCTGGAAAGAATTTCCAAACAGCACTGGAAAGCCAGCATAAGATGGACTCTAGCAGTGTCAGCAGGGTTCAGCACACAGATAAGTTAAGTTATCTTAAAACTGGCTGAAAATGTTTTGTCTTCAAGGCAAATCCCTTCACTTGGCACGCACAATACCAAAACGTGAAGGGAAAAAAAATCCACAGCAATTATAATCCAACTGGTTGTTTCACAATTTAAACTGGAGGTTACCAGCTACAGATGGGACTTTCTGAAGCCGAACACCTTGCAAGACAATTAAACTCACCACCACAGTGGAACGCAGAGCACCCCAGGTACAGTAAGAGCCAGAAGCAGCATCCGCCAGTCTCTGATGAAGTAAGCAAATAGTGGCAGCAACATGTAGCCAATTGCAAAAAATATGCAAACTCCTAATGTAGAGAATATAATACGAACTGATTTGCCAAGAATTTCTGTGCCTGTTCAAAACAAGGGAGTTTGTATTAGCATTTTAACTCTTTTTGTAAAAACCACGTCTAAATATTTTATCGCATTTACAAAAAACAGCTAAAACAATCTTTAAAATGGAATCATTTCCCTTGTTATACTTAAAGGGACACTGTCAAGGAGTTCTGGCCCAAAATAAGACCAACCTTAACATGAAGATAATCTGGTGGGACAGTCTTCCAGATTTTAATCGTATAAGAGATTTCAAAGTTGCCAAGCCATTAATGAGTAATTGCAAGGCCAGCCACCATCTGTGTGGGAACCACCTCTTTCAGTGCCCCCTGCTGGTTCTGCAAAAGCAGATTTCAAGTAATACACAGCTATTTTCAACACTAGACATCTTCCTCATAACTTCTATGATGTCGCAAAGACAACAAAATAAATGGGCCCCTTTTTTAGAGCTTTGTTTCAGCACCCCTCTGAATTTCTGCATTGCTAGCATCAATACTTGCTCAACGGACAGGGCAAAAGTAGGAGGAGACTTACGTTTCTGCCATTGCAAAGACTGGGGAGTTAAGAGAGAAAAAAACAGCTGACAGTGTCCTTTTAATCAAGCCTTCTTGTTCATCTCTCCCAGCAGTTTTTAAGTAATTTGGGAACAGAACATAAAGGAAGTTTATACTGAAACATGGCTCACTCCAAATAGATCAGGATTAAAAAACTGCCATATTAGTTGACGGGGCCACATGTCCAGTGCCCTGTTTCCAACAGTGGTCAATGGCAGATGCTTCAGAGGAAGGCATAGAGCCGCTGCCCCTAGTCCTCTACAATAGCACCTGAAGACGAGGGCAGCGAATCTCTCGCTCACTCCAAGAATTTACATTTCAGACACAAAACCGCAGATGCTGTTATTCACACGAACATACAACAGATTTTTGAAAATCTTGCTAAACCGTTTGCTTCAGTTCTTCCCTGCAGTGGCACGTTCCACAGGTTCACCAACTGCATAAAGCAGTCTTCTATTACAATAAATTTTGAGTGCCCTCGTGTCCCCGGAAAGGATAAACAGGGACATTTGAGGCCTTCACTGGCCTGGTTTTTAAAATGCCAAACACCTAATAGTTCACATTAACTTCAATGGAATTTGCTGAGTGCCACTTCTTTGGGTGTCTAAATAAGTGCTTGGGACCCTAACTTCAGACACTTGTCTCTGAAAGTCTTTGCCTATATTTCCTACCATACTTCTCCAAAATAAGTATTCCTAGTCTTTCAATCTCGCCTTGTTTGGAAGTCCCTATAAGCCTCCAATCATTTCCATGACCCTTCTCAAACTTTGAGTTTTCCTAGGTCCTTAAAATTACATTAATTAGATTGAATGCACTGTTCTTGAGGAGGATACACCACCTACATATAATGGCATAGTATCAGTATTTTTCTCTGAAACACCACAATGGTAGATTCGCCTTGTTGATAGCATGATGGAGAAAGATCCTTTAACCTGTTCAGTTTGAGGTGTCTCAGTGTTCCCTACAGAAGCTATAACTAATCTGGAACCTGAGCGCAGGTACATATGGCTTAGGTTACCACATACTGGGCTGAACACTTTGCACGTGCTTGCACTGAAATCAGTCTTCCATGGTGTTGCCCGGTTACTACATATTGTTGGATCCTCTGGAGTTGCTTACAATCCTCACTGATTTTGACTTACCTAAATATTATGCTAGTAAATTTAGTTACCTCACTGTCCAGCCCCTCTAAGCAGTTATAAGGGGACACACACAGATCCTAGCTCTCAAGTCTGGCTGAGCTACATTTGGCGTAGGACCCAAAAGGGGAATGAAGATGACTTTACGCCACCTTTATTCTCTCTCCCTTATCTCCAGGGCACCCTCAGCACAAATCAGAGCAGCCTCAGGGCTGATCTAAATTACAATAGCCTGAACAGCCTCAGGAGGATTTGTAGCATCTGAGGATCGCCTGAGCACAGCGCGTTTCAGCCACACTCACTCCAACCCCAGCACATCCCCTACGTTGGCTGCATGGCACCCAGGGATTCTACAGGGGAATCCCCAGCTAGTCACTTCGGCTAGTTTAAAGGCTGCAATGATCCAGCTACACAAAGCAAAGCCACCTCCTCAGAGCCACTGGACTGGCCCAGACTAAGGTAATTTATGGTTTGCAAGAAGTTGTTTCCATGAAATTAAAACAAACAACTCAGAAAACAGCATTTTTTAGATTTAAATATTCCCTGGATGCTTTTGTAGCCCAGACAAAAATATTATGTTAGTGCATAACAACCTGAAATTTAAACAAACTACCCAGTGTTTTCATCCCCCATGCCCACTGATGTTCAGAAAGAATAGACAGCATAAAATGATGAAAAATTAAAAATGTTTACAACATTTTCAGTTTTAATACCTAATGTGCTATTAGTAAAATACCCTGGAAGTTTTTAACCTGACATTAACGACAAGGAGGCCGGTGGCACCTTAAAGACTAACAGATTTATTTGGGTAAATCTGTTAGGGTACGTCTATACTTACCTCTGGGTTCGGCGGTAAGCAATCGATCTTCTGGGATCAATTTATCGCGTCTTGTCTAGACGCGATAAAATCGATCCCGGAAGTGCTCGCCCGTCGACACCGGTACTCCTGCTCTGCGAGAGGAGTACGCGGAGTCAACGGGGGAGCCTGCCTGCCGCGTGTGGACCCGCGGTAAGTATTTTGTAGTTCGAACTAAGGTACTTCGACTTCAGCTACGTTATTCACGTAGCTGAAGTTGCGTATCTTAGTTCGAACTGGGGGGTTAGTGTGGACCAGCCCTCAGTCTTTAAGGTGCCACCGGACTCCTTGTTGTTTTTGTGGATACAGACTAACACAGCTACCCCCTGATACTTAACCTGACATTGTTTCTTTAATAATATTAAAACAACACTAGATTTAGTTCCAATTCCTGGGTCACTTTATTATTAATCATTTCCCACTTATTCATATTCTTTGCATCCTTTCTCAAGACAGGAGAGTCTCCACTTTCTTATACCATGGACCACGTTTCAATAAACAGATTGTCATGTGGACACATCACCTCCTATTGCCAACATGCAGATCGCTTTCCCGCTAATCTGTGATCGCGTAACATCCCTCTAGCAACTTCAGCAGTGACTTTCAATGTAGAGTAAAAGCATTTATGTCTGGCCACATGGAGCAACTCGGTGAGAACTGAGCAAATAAACTCAAATAGAGCGTGCCTCTCTCTGTCCTTGTAAAGTGCTGGAAAATGCAATGGAAAGAAGGAAATGGCAGAAGAAGAAAACCCCACCTCTTCCCAGCAGCTCCAAAGGCAAATTTTTTATGGGGTCGGAAAGGGGGATGTGTTGCAACACCCCATCATTGCACCAGGGCTGTGCTGACACATTGCATCAATAACACTGGTGAGTCATGAAGATGCAGTGCTGGAATGTCATACTATCATCATTTTGAGGCACTCCACAAGATGATGGAAGTGGTTATCCAAGATAAAATACAACTGAGATATTGCATAAGGAAAAGGGTGGAGAAATACTCTCGCAGTTCAGACTAGTTCAGTGATTAGCAGTACTGTTAAGGGCCTATACAATTAATATAATAAGTAGCAAAAAATAAAATTAACTTTAGCCAGGAATCTGGGCAGAATTTTGTTGTTTTTATTCATTTTTCACAATGCCTTGTCTAGGATAGATTGTGTCTGCTTTGGAGCTTAATATAGATCACTTATAACAAAAACCAGCTTTCGGCAACCTTCACTGAGTGTCCTACTAGGAGTGAATCTGTTTCCCTGTTTAATGATCTTCCAATTTAAGAGTTATCATATAATCCAGCTTTGAAAGATCCTGAAGAGAAGCAGGTCTGTGGATTTAAATTAATGGACAAACTGACATAGAGTCTCCCAGGTAAAGGACTGCAAGTTTGTACTGAGGTTGGATCAATCTATAATTTCGCTTTGAAAGAGAAGGACTGCAATATGAAGACAATAACATGATCATAAATTGAAGGACATCAATAATAAGGATAATATCTTGTAATAGAGTTACAGTTCAAATAACCATGCATCCCTAAATCAAAGCAAATTTTTGACAGCTGGCTCATTCAGCACACACGTTGTGCCAATGTGATACTTAGTCCTTTAGAGAGAGGAACAATGTAAGCCTTCAGTTACCTGTTCTTTTTCCAATAAAATGCCTAGCCTTCTCTTAAGAAAGTCTGTGCATAACAATTCTATCCCATCTCTCACATGATCCTCAGTTACCGGACTACAGAAATTTCCTATCCATTAGGGGCATTAGACTCCTTTACTCACTGAATATGATGTGGACTCAATTAACGACATCAAGCAGACAGATACAAAGGTGTAAGGGAGTTTAGGGGGGTACATATGAGTTATATAGTTCATAAAAGTGCATTGTAATATTGCCTAAAAGCTATTGTGGTAGAAATGCACAAGGTCTATTTATGAGCTGCATTTATTTATGAGACTGACTAACCTGAGCAAGCAGCTCATGAATAATTCCCCATTAAGCAATTTCAAAAAGGATCTCTCCTCCAACTCCACCTTTCATGTTTTTGTTTTTTAAAAAGAGCAAAGTTATAATATTCTCCCCTGGTTGTTGTTGTTTGTTTTGTGTCTTTATGAGAAGTTCAGTATTTAAAAAAAAAAAAAAAAAAAAACAATGAATTATGGGGTTTAAACATTTTGTTAAAAATGCCTAGAACTTTAGGATTTGCGACAATTCAAAAATAAGATCTAACATAAGATTAAGTCTCTCAAGTACATTTATATTCCTTTCCCACCAAAAGAGAGCAATTTCAGGACATTACCAAAGTGCCTGTACAAATGTAAAAGCAGCAAAAGCACCTTATAGACTAACAGACGTATAGGAGCATGAGCTTTCGTGGGTGAATACCCACTTCGTCGGATGACTAGAAATTGTATGACTAGAAATCAACCATTAAATATTAACCCCTCACATGCATCCGACGAAGTGAGTATTCACCCA